CGCACGATTTATATAAAACATACTTCATGAAAAATAACTTAAAACTGTCATGAAATATGGTAGGTATGGATGAAAAAAGATAACCAAATAATGCAGCACGGTTCATTGAAGGTATAGTTTAGGAAAGATGGTTGAGGGAAGAGTTTGGGAAAGATGGTTGAAGATATAGTTTAGGAAAGATGGTTGAGGGAAGAGTTTGGGAAAGATGGTTGAAGATATAGGTTAGGAAAGATGGTTGAGGGAAGAGTTTGGGAAAGATGGTTGAAGATATAGTTTAGGAAAGATTGTTGAGGGAAGAGTTTAGCAAAAGATGGTTGAGGATATAGTTTAGGAAAGATGATTGAGGGAATATTTTAGGAAAGATGGTCGAGGCTATAATTTAGGAAAGATGGTTGAGGGAATATTTTAGGAAAGATGGTTGAGGGTATAGTTTAGGAAAGATCTTTGAGGGAAGAATTTAGAAAAAGGTGGTTGAGGATATAGTTTAGGAAAGATGATTGAGGGAATAGTTTAGGAAAGGTTATTGAGGGAATAGTTTAAGAAAGATGTTTAAGGGTATAGTTTAGGAAAGATAACCAAATAACGCAATGAGCGTTATTGAAAACAGTTTAAGAAGGATGATCGTATAATACATAGTGCTTCATGAACTACAAAGTTTAGGAAGGAGAGCACAATAAGGTAGTAGTAAGAGTTGATGAAGTATGAAAACGTGGCTTATGAAAGACGGTCAGATAAAACATTATGGTTTTTGGAAAGATATATCTAAAGACAATTTTGTCAATTGAAGATTTTTTTTTAATTGAAGTTGGTGAATATGTAGCAGGTTACTAAAAATTTGCATTTGAACCGGAAGAGAAAAATCTACATGTAAAACTGGTAATTCAAAAAGTTTTGACCTGAAATGCAGAATACATTTATACAACGAGATAAAAGGCACAATGCAATTAAGGCAGAACTCAAGATTTTTCACACTTTGTGGAAGAGAAACACGGATTTTTGAGATGAATTGTAAATTAAGAAGTCACATTAAGTCACTGTAAAAATAGGATATTGCAAACCATTATGATGTACAAATCACGTATTTTAAGTTTCACAAACAAGCAAAGTAACTTGCTGAAGTTCCGTTTTAAGTATTAAAGCAGATAATTTATTTTAAATAATCACGCCTTTAATTATATCTAGTCTTATTCGCCCAGGTTCAATGACTAAAAGACCTGAGGACAAAATGTTTTCTATTTTCTGTCTTCAACTTATGCTAAGCCAGTAGCCTAACACACTAACTAGTATGGACTCACTTTGATTTCTCCTAAAGATTCTCTTGAATTATTCTATGTTCACTCCGTCACTGATCAGTTAGTCCAAACTCTTTATGTATCAAAACATTCTCAATTAGGTTATAGTTATTTTTGTTACGTCACAGAAAATCCTTGTTTGAAGAACGTTTTCGTCAGCAAAACCCTTACAATAACTCCCGTTGTTAAAACTTGTACCATATAATTATATATAAAGAACAAGTGTTCATGTTATAAAAATGAAAGAAGAAAACATCTTTTTGGTGTTTTTAATTCCGTTTAACTTACCAGTTAGTAACCTAAGTGAATTTAATTATGTGAATAATATTCTGGCATTGCGCCAAGTTTATTATTCGATATGATATAATAGACTGACTGTTTGATGATGATTTACAGATTGTTTTTTTTTAACCAAAGACAAAATTTAAATGATAAAATGTGACGTGAAAGCCTAATATGTATTTTGATTTGCTGCACCCACTGCTGTGCAATGTAGTTTCGCCTATTCAAGGTTCACCAGCACAGCTATATTAGGCTTCTGCGTCAGAAATTGTTTTCAGTTCTATCTTTGGTGAAAATGAAAGAAATCTGTAATATCATCAAGAAAAACATCTTAAAAAACGTGTTTAAAATAACTACAAATTAATAATACGATGCTACTGCATAAGAACGTGAAAACAAAATATAATTCTTTCTTTAGAGGTTATAATAAAATTTCGTAGTTAGTACCATATACGATCACCTAAATATAATTATTAATTAGTTACTTTTTTGGTTACTAGATACTAATTACTTTAGATCCTGTTTCAGCTACTAATCCACTGTAGAAGCCGGGATTTTCGCTAGAAGGATGGGTGTATTATCTCGTCTGGGGTCTTCCCCCTTAGGACTTTGAATCAACTATCTGAATAGTTTCAGGAAGGATATCAAGGTTTTACCGACTTCTGTAATTGAATATGTTATCAGTTAAGCAGATATATAATAATTATTTTTCTCTTTCTTTTGTCTGAGGGTCGCAGGTTCGAATCCCCGTCCCACCAAACAGGCTCGCCCTTTCAGCCGCGGGGGCATTATAATGTGACGGTCAACACCAAATTCGTTGGTAAAAGAGTAGCCCAAGAGTTGGCGATGGGTGTTGATGACTAGCTGCCTTCTCTATAGTCTTTCACTGCTAAATTAGGGACGGCTAGGTTGCGCGAAATTCAAACAAACATACTTTTTCTCGTAGATGGTCTATATCCAATTATAGTATGTATATTATGTATGTCCTTCTTATCTGACGAGATATTGCAAATAGATCAGTATTATTGAATGTTTACTCTTCTCCCGTATTCTTACTTTTATTGGTCTTCTCTGCTACTCCAATGTATTAGTCCTGTTTATATATATATTGAACTTCAATACATAGACCAACAAAAGACATGATTTTAGAAGTATAATAGCCACAGAAGATCTGTAATACCAATCTTTCTACAGAAGCCCATCGTGTCAAAAAAGAAGATAACAGAACAAAATAGAATAATAATGAATGGTGTGATATTTTCAGTTGAAACTGATTTTTTTAAAGAATAAATAAGACAGGTCCACTATATAATGGAAGATTATACCAGTAGATATTTCGAAGTAATAGTAAATTTATCTCAAACCGAGTTTGTGCAAAGAAAGAGACTGGAAACAATGGTAAACATACAGTGAAAAAAACCTTTCTTTGATAACGTAAGACAACACTGTGTGTATTAGCACAAACGCAGTGAAAAGACGATCCCCCTTTACTGGAGAATGTTAGATCGTGATCTTTTATTGCTCTGTACATACACTTGTATAAGATCTATGAGTTTTGCAGACATTCTGTCTCAGTCTGAGGAAGCATCACGTTATATACTTAAAAGTACTACGTCATACTTTCAACAAGACTGAATGAACATTTGAAATCTCCCACTCACGTATTTGAACACATTGTCAAAAATAATGACTTAATTGATTTTTGAGATGTTGACATCACTGACAAAGAAAACAATAAATCGTAGAAAAATTGAAGAAGCTCTTTTTATCACAAAACGAAAACCAACATTAATAAATATAGTGGTGTATGTTATATTTATTCTAATTTTTGTTTTTCTTGCTTAGCTGTTGTTGATGTTTATTACATTATTTTGGTGTGAACATTTTTTTCGAGCATGATTATAATTAATTTATTTGTCATTAGACATTAGTATTATATTTTTAACACTTCATTCTATATCTAGTCCCTTAGGGATTTTTAACAGTTAGAAGAGTGCATAATAACAGTATTCGAATCACACTATGTTCACTGCATCCATTGCCGACGAGGCGTTTCGCTTTATCCAGCGCTCACCATGCTGGCTGAACACAACAAACACAGTTGAGGTCGGAACACTATTTATATAAGTCATTTGTTACAACATCAATTGTCTCAGCCGGTCTGATGGGCTCTGGATTCAGTGAAACGTCTCGTCGGCAATGGATGCTGCGAACATAGCATGGTTGGAATACTATCATTATCCATTCTTTTATTACACTATTGTTTAATGACGTAATACCACGTTACAATCTCAATTGTTGTTCCATTCTATTCAAAGATTAAGATAACAAACCCACACCAAATTATTATTGACGATACTAATTACGCCACTGAATAACTTTGCATAATATCACAGTACATAAGTTTTCTCCTATTTAAAAACAATTCATTCATTCCTAAAACAATAGCCCCCTATTGGCACAGCGGTATGTCTGCGGACTTACAACGCTAGAAATCGGGTTCCGATACCCGTAATGGGTATCAAAGTTTACAGTTATTCCTCAACCTTGGCAGATCTAAATATTATTTAATATATTACTATACGTATTTTAAAAAGGCAATGGCCATCGGGTATGGTGTAACGGATTTTGGAAAAATGATTTTTTTTATTATTGTGTTATGACATTTTATATATTCAAAGTAGCATTGCTTTCGGTTAGCAGTGATAACATTTTCCGTGTGACACGACTAAAAATTCAGTAATAATTTGCATAATAAATGAGTTACGTATTATAAGTAAACGAAAAATATGACTTCTATTTATAAAAGGGAAGCATTTGATTTTTCAAATGCATGAAATGATATTATTGTACACGAATAAATAAATGGTTTATCAAAATGAGACAATTATGAGAGCAACCATAGCAATACTGGTTTATTTGATCATATTATAGTAAACCAAGAGATCCACGGTAAAGTCCACAATTATCAAGATCAACAGAATTTGAAGAGTTTGTTATTAACTTGGTTTAAGATGAAAAGCCTCGAACAGACACCAGGCTTAGAAATAACACAGTACCATATTTACAATAATAATAGTAGAATACAGAACATGTTATAATAAAATCAATCATTATTCATTTATGAGGTTTTGGGTCCTTTTTAATTCACCATAGAGTAACCTAAATTAATTTAGGTGAGTAAATAATATTATGGCATTGTGCCTAATATATTATTGAATGTTATACAGCGAACCAATTATCTGATGAGTATATATATATATAATATTATTTTCTTTTTCATCAAAGTTAGAATTGAAAATATTATCTGTGACGTATAGGCCTAATGCTTTTTTTTGATTGGCCGCACCCTCTGCTATGAGTCGCAGTTTCGCCTATTCAAGGCTCATTAGCACAGCTTGGGACTGCAAACCACAGAAATACAGTTAAGCCTCTTATAATGGTGAAGTGTATATAAGATTATCGGGATTTTGCGTCCTTTTGAATTCACCGTATAGTAACATAAGAGGCTTAACTGTATTTCTTTGTTTTGCTGGCCCAATTTGTACTGATAAGCATTGAATAGGCGAAACTACAATATTCAGCAGAGGTTACGGCCAATCAAAGAATGCATTAGGCCTCTCTACATCATAAATTTATCCTGTAATGTTTTCTTGTACGAGAAACTCTTGGCGCAGTGCATCATGGCTTATTCTCAAGCAGTAATAATAAAAAAAACACAACTCGTAAACTTTTGTATGTCAGTAATCTGTTTACTTTCGTATTTATATAATGCTTAGACTAGGCTTTATTTAAAATTTGATTTTTAATATAAACTTTAATTTTTAAGTCCACACTAATATTTACATAAAAGTATTGTCTTAAAATATTCATTATGTTAACTCGTTTGAAAGTACATAACTTGGAGTAACATTTGCGCCTCACGTAAATATGATAGATGTGTATGCAAACGTTTAGTAATCTTTGCTACCATTTTTGTTTGTTTGCTTAGATTCAGATCGCGGTTGGTCCTATAATAGAGCTCAGAATTATGAAGCTGGCGAGCCAAGTTCGAATCCATAAGATACCAGAAACATTCCTCGCACTTTAAGTTGTGAGTACGTTATAAAAATGACAGTCGATCCATTAGCGTGGATGGTGGATGATAGGAAGCTCTGACTGGCTGTCTTCCATGCGGTCAGTAGTTCAAAATAAGCTCATTAGTGCCCATTATCCTGTTTACAGTACTCTAAAACTTCTGCAAAATATTTGTCATATGTAGAAGGAACGAGCCAAGTTAAGTTTACAGTTGTGCACACGTAAACAAACCCTCAGTTGAAGCTTCGACTTGGAAGCGTGAAGACGTTCTTGCTCTGACTTGACCTACTTTTCTTCAAAGTGGGGTCCAAACAGCAGTAAGTAATTATTCTGAATTTTGCTTTAATTTGGCTGTAACTCATATCAATTATTATTTTTATTGTAAAAATAGTTTTATACTTAACTTTTGATATATTTTTATTTCCTTTGATGTTTCAACAATTTAAATCCCTTGTCCCGTCTGCAAGATACTAGGAAACGTTCTGTAAACCTTGTTTCTCTCTTATTTCAGGAGTCTTAGTTTGAATGACATTTTTTGATAGTATTTAAATAGAAGTAAATGAAGCTTTTGACACATTTTTAGAAGGACCAGCACTGACTGAAGACACAATCAATCCATATTAATTAAATGTGGGTTGATGAATTCATACGCGATTAAAAAAAAGGGGAGGGCTCGTTAGATTTAAAATTATATCATTTTGTATTTTAATTTCTGGCAAGTAAACATTGGATGACTGAGTTGATGGCAAACTAGACACTAGATAAAGACTCTATGTCAAAACTTCATTTGATGTATTATCAACCTTGGTAAATTCGGTTTATAGTGACAAAATTTATGCAGCACGACGCACTGAATTGTGTCCAGATCTAAACTCTAGCTCTAGATACATTTACAATCGTTTAAGGAATAACATTGTAATTTGCTATTTATAATCAGAAAAAATGGTGTCAAGTCGGTGTTTATCAGTATTTTTGTTTGTTTATTTAGTTTTCACAAGTTCAGGTTTTAATTTGACCGAATTGAAGCATGGAGTTACAAATTGTGTCAAGTCGGTGTCTATCAGTATTTTTGTTTGTTTTTGTAGTTTTCACAAGTTCAGGTTTTAATTTGACCGAATTGAAGCATGAAGTTACAAATGGTGTCAAGTCGGCGTTTATCAGTATTTTTGTTTGTTTATTTAGTTTTCACAAGTTCAGGTTTTAATTTGACCGAATTGAAGCATGGAGTTACAAGTTGCTAGTAAATCCTTTATCTACATAATTTACGGTGAAAACAGTAGCTAGACTAAGATCTAGATTCTAGTATTCAGTACACCTAAATCTATACCTATAACTTGTAAGAAGTCATGAACGAAGTTGAGAATCTACCAAACAGACCTCGACTAGTAAATCAACTGATTGGGATGGAGGGACCATGTAGGGTTAGTAACTATTTTTGCTGATGAGAGTTGAGCTTGCAAAATAATTATGAATTTATTTGTGTATTCTACTTTGTATTTGTGAGTATGGATTCAAATCACATGTTAACACGTCGTTTAGAAAGGCGAAAAATAAATTTAGTGCATTTCCAAACATCTTTTGGGCAGATTCTAAGTTTCTATGAACATAAGCGCGTATCGAAACGTGACTGTCACATATTACTTTTCGGAGGGAAGGGGCTTGTTTCCGAGATTGACCAATCCGGAGAGCTTTAGGTCAACGAGCGCAGTGCGTTCTATTCTCTCTATGCATGATTCAAGTCAGCATTCGAACTCCCAACAAACTATTGTATGAAGTGGCAATTTCCGAATAACGTACGGAAACGCGTTTGGAAACGGCCATCCAAAATGCTGATTCTATCCCAACTGTTTTTTCTAGAAACATGGTCTTGAATGTAGACTAAGATCACTTTGAAATTCAGATGTACTTATTCAGCTAGGCAATACTTCTAGTTCAGACTAGCTAGCTGAATAAGTAGATGTATAGCCTACATGCATGTGTTTTGTCTACTATACATATCTTACGCTTATATGTTTATATTTAAATCAAAACAAAACAATATTTTAGAGTTGTGAAACGAAACAAGCAATGTTCATGATTTATTCTGCTGGAGTCATAAAAGTATTCAGATCGGCCTTATATGTCTTAAGTATAACGAAGTACAACTTTACGTCATCGCCTTGCTTTCTCAAAGGATTTTTTTAAAAGAAGTTTTTATTTTCGCTCGTCCCTCATTAAGATTCATTCAAATTCCGCCACGAGATGGGGTATTTCACATCCATATACTATCCTGCCTCTGAAAAGATCACTGTTGCATCAGCGAAATGAAAATATATTATGGATACAAACATTAAATGAAAAATCATAAGCAAAGAGCTCCCCAGTGGCACAACGATAGAATCCGGGTTTCGATACCCGTGGTGGGCAGAGCACAGATAGCCCATTGTGTAACTTTGTGCTTAATTACAAACAAGCAAACATAAGCAAAGAAATTTGGTGTGTTAAACCTTTGCTATATTTCTTTACTTTATATGTGCAAGTTGAAGTTCTAATTTTATTCATTTTATGTGTTAATTACATGTCTTTAGGTGGAAAGAATTGATATGGGAAAAAAAGAACAAGGGAAACAAAGTTCATCTCTTTGATCAGCGATGGTTCAACAAATACATCCGTGATGGAGGAAGAGATTTCGTATGTTCGGTATGCCATCAATGGGGCATTGGCTATTGACCTTGTTGCTGTGGCCAATATTGCAACTGCAGACGGGGAATCAATCACAGCCTTGATGAAAGCATTGACCAGATCTGTGTTCAAAGGAAGTCTGTTGGGTTTGGATCAGATGGGGCGGCGGTTATGCTCGGGAGGAATCAAGGATTAGCTGCAAACCTGAAACAGATCAGTCCACCTCTGTTGGCCATACACTGCACTGCTCATCGTCTTGAAATTGCGTATAAGGATGCAATGAAGAGTATTCCGTTACTTGTCACACAAAGTTCATTCCTCCTCAACATTTACAAGTTCTACAGAACTGTTCACAAAAAGGGAGTGGATTGAACTTAGCAACGGAGGCAGTAGAGGACGCTGTAGCAGTACCTAGGAGAGCTGGAGGAACTAGATGGCTGCCTCATCTGAAACTGTATTTAAACAGATAATAAGAAGATCCCACCTATATGAGATAAATTGCAACTGGATCAAACTGGGATCATTTAGTCAAAGACTGATTTGTAAAATTGTAGCATAGCAAGTTTCATAATTAGAACAGTTTGAATGTTGAAGACTATGTCATTAAATATTTTTTTTTAAATAACTGTAACCGTCATTGCAATCAGTCTCTTATAACTCCATTCTGTTTATTTCCATCCTTGAAATAGCTTGAAACACACAACCAGGGTATTTGACTGATGCTAAGACCAAAGCCAAAGGCTTTCTTGAAGCTCCTAAAGCTGATAGACATGATAAAGTTCTTCCAATTTATGCTTAATGTGGTGGTAACACTGTCATCTGTGTCATTCACTTCACAGAAAACGAATTCGACTGTGGCTTTTCTTATCACTCTTCAGAAGTATAAGACCAGGTAAGTTCATATATGTCTCTCTGTTTTGACAAATTTTTTATCATTAAATCTGATGTCAGGTTTGATTTTCTTTTGAGAGGAAAATGTAAGATGGAATCGCATTCTGTGTCAAATTTTTGATGAAGATTTTAGCCTGACTCAGAGAAAGTAAAAAGCATGTATAATGACTTTGCTGAGAGCAATCTCACATCATAAGTCTGACCATCAGACAGACTCTGTTTATTAATGTGGAAAACTTATAATCTTATCAGAAACTACTTAGGATTGAATTTCATGTATTCCAGTCTGAAACATTGTCTTATGACAATGTCATGCTTGTACTTTCATGTTTTATGTTTTTCACATTTTTCTTCTTTCCTTGTACTTTTTTTTTTCTAAAAGGAAAACAACTCCTCATCTATAGGGTCTTAAGAATGGTGATTTGAATGGTGAGAAATTGATAGGAACTGAAGATATTGAAGGTGACATGACATCTGTGCTAGATCACCTTAAAGAGAGCCTCCATGGACGATTTGAAGACATTACCAATGGTGTCTTGGAGGCAATGCAAATTGTTAGCTTTAACTTCTGGCCAGAAGATGACGCAGGGGTTAACTATGCTATAACCGATACTGCATGTAGCTTTTAGTAGTGTAGGTTCCAAAAGAAATATATAAATCAATTTGAATTTATTTACATAGTCAAATTCCATGGTATTTTGTACATTAGCTTATAGCAAAAAGAATTTAAATGTTATCTAAGCATATCTGAACTAGAAAAAAAAACAATGATAATAATGATTGACTTTATTTGCACAGGAAAGTGAATGGAAAGATTTATATAAAATAAGCTGCTTTTGTGTATATATTCAGTCCTTAACATCAGAAATATCTCAACTAATAATAAATGTTCTCAAGTATTCATTCTTACTTTTTTATGTAAGAATACTTTTCAGTCAGCAGTATATTGATAAATATAAAATATAAGAAAGAATATGAATAACACAAGGCTCTTTATTTTCAGACTTTGGAAATGATGCTGTGGTAACTTTGTCCAACCACTTCCATCCTATCTTGAAGCAAGCTGGCATTGATGAAGAGAAGATGAGTGTTGAGTGGGACCTTCTGAAAGCACGGATGTATTCAAAGTAATTGCACTTTCATTAATAAGAATGCCATCATTTTGTACAATATTCAAACTTTTTGTATCAGTGTAATGGAACTGATATATAAAATTTCACTTATAAAATTTGAAATATAGTGATTGTTTGAACTTTTATAAAGATGACAACTGTTTTCAATCAGAATGCTACTTTTTTAACTTTTTATATATGACCCCAAGCCTACATAAAGGTTCACACATTTGAAAGATGTACATACAAGTTTTTTTTGTTAACACTTTCCAAAAAACAAAACTTGTAAGTTGTTTGAAGAATCTACCTTACTGCATGTACATTGTAAATAAACGTATGCATGTTAGGGTAAAAACACTTTTGAATCCAATTTTGAAGACTGTAATAACAAAAAGAAATAATAACAACAATAATATAATTATAAATTAACACAAAATAATGATTTGAAAAGAGGAATAATAAAGCAATTCTCATGATGGTCTCTGATACATTTTCTACCTTTATTTCTTTACTTAATTTCACCAGACATAACAAGAAAGGCCAACCATGGGCTGATATCATCCCTAGGATTAAGGAGGAACTACCTAATATCTGTGGCCTCTTTGACCTGATATTGTCTGTTGTAGCCAACCTTGCTGAGGCTGAGAGAGGATTCAGCAAGATGAAGATGATCAAGACCAACTTGAGATCTTATCTGTGAGCTTACAGGATTATTGATCAGCTTCTGGTCATGCTCCACTCACCTCCAATAAGTGACTTTGACCCCATAACAGCTATCCATCTTTGTAACTCACGAAAAATACTTCGCTCAAGGAGACCAAATACTGGCAGAGTACAGATTGAGAAGCAGGTGCATTTGAGTGAAGAAGAAGGGGATGAAGGAAGAATCCAAGAAATGGATGTTGGGACATAATTGGACACTGATATTGATGTATATAAATTTCCTTTCATTATTTATTTTATTTAGGAAAGGACACTACTTTAAAAGGACATATTACATTGACAGTGATGCATATTTTTATGAACATTTATTTTGATTATTAAAGGGCAACAAGAAGTTACTGTTATACCATGTTGTACAGAGAAATTAAATATCATATATGAAATAAAGATCATTTAAGTGGTATGAAGAAAAAAAAAGGTTTGAGTTGTGTTTGTTTTCACGAAGTACCAGTTCAGAACAAAATAAATTGAGATATGTTGATATCTTTAGTTTCCTTCCAATTTATATAACATCCTCTATTTAATTCAGTGATTTTTCTGATAACCTCCACTTTTTACAATGAGCTATAGGTTTGGCCCTTAAAATGCTTGCGGGCCTCTAAAAATGTATGTTTTGGGGACCCGGCTGGCTCCCTAAAAAAAAAGAAGTTAAACATGAGCCATGCATATTGAAGACTATTATTTGTGAATCCAAACAATATGCAGCTAATAATGTAGATATTAATGACTTAAAAGCTGTTTTAGAAAAAACAGTCGAACGCCATTAACGTTACGTTCATGAGAGCTGCGATGTTATTGGAAACGACATTATTTGGGACCCAATTCCCCATTAGTATAATGATATAAGTTGGAGTTGTGTTCCAGCAGCATAATTGAACGTCCTATACATAACAAAAGCAACGAAAATTACAAAGTATAGTACAATAATAAACATTAATAAATAATACGTACCATTGTACAATACTGACAAAAAACTTGATATGGTAATGGTTTAGTAATGCCAGTAAAGCTAACCCACTGAAGGAATTTACAGAAAGAATGTTTAGTGTTTTTTATTGTAATTTCTTTTATTTGATATGTATTAATTTTTTTTTCAACGATGCAAAAACGATCGGTTTAGTTTGTTTTGAATTTCATGCAAGGCTACACAAGATTATCTGCACTAGCCGTCCCTAATTTAAAAGTGAAAGACAAGAGAGAAGGTAGCTAGTCATCACTACCCACCGCCAACTCTTGGGCTACTCTTTTACCAACAAATAGTGGGATTGACCGTAACATAATAATGCCCCCGCAGCTGAAAGGGCGAGCATGTTTGGTGAGATAGGGATTCGAACCCGCGACCCGTAGATTGTGAGTCGAGCGCCCTAACTACCTGGCATGCCGAGCCAACAAGATAGTAGGGATGGCATTTGCATCATCCCTACATAATAGCACAAGCAAGAATT